CTGTTCTCTAAATTGATCAGAGCTATGTAGTGCCTCTTAAGTACTTTGTTTCCACATTCATTATATCAGCAGCAATCTGGTACTGAAATGACATTTCAGATTTGTTGAGAAGGGAACTACAGCAGAGATAAATAGAAGGGAAAGAGATTGGAGGCGTCAGTGCTGAATAAATTCAGGATACTTGCCACATAAATCATGGGATGTGGTGTACACTTAAGTCTAACATGCTGCATAGCACACTGAGCCTTGAGCATAGCAATCATTTATGTTTACATGCACCTTTCTTAGAAATATTTCAGATAAAAATATGACTAACATAAGAACATTGGTGAGACTAGTTGAATATTAATATTATTATAATGTAAAACATGGGAAGTTTTGCTGTAACTTTTTGCCATTGTTTTTGGGGTATTTTTTTGTATTTGTAACGTTTAAACTAGACACATTTTCTTTAATTATTTGAAAGGAAATAGTTGCAGCTGGAAAATACACTCAGTATGCTGTACTAATCTGGTGGTGAAGTCTGCAAGTCTATGTGATGAGAGAAATGAGATCAAGTTTCACAGCCACATCTGAGATGAAATACTTGTGAAAAGTGTAAGGGCTAATCTAACACACCTTTTTAAGAGGATGAAATATAATGTTAGAACAATGTCCTTATTACTATAAAGTTAGTTCTTGGTGGATTTGACAACCCTATCAATCTGTGAAATAGGCCATTTTAGCTGACTTTTGTGTTCGACTGACATTTGAAGACAAAATAAATGTGCACGGTATAGTAAAAGCCATACTGCTTTTTGAGAAGACATATTTCTGTCCACTGAGTTGTAACTGGATTTTTCTAAAAATGCCATTATGACATTCCAAGATGCACTCCAGACCAGTGAGGGGGTGTGTCGCTCTTGCCCTGCAACCTTGCTTTGCTGCTGTAACTGCTCACTTGGACCCCTCACAAACAGCCAGGCAGCATGTGGGTCACACCCTGAATGTCTGTGTATAGTTGCAGCGTGCCAGCACACTCCCGTCATATTCTGGTTTCCACCAACCCTGGTTACCACTTGCAGGATGACCCCAACACACTTCCAAAAGGAATTAAAATCAGAAATGGTTACAAGAGAAATACAGAAAAAATGTTTCCTAGTACTGAAACTTAAACTAGAATTGGTTCAAGATGAAGTCCTTTAACACATGTTTCCAGTAACATTGCTGACCAAATTCTCAGGCCAGGATCTGCTCCCAAAGTCCGAAGGCTGTGGCTTTTGTCATCTTAGGTGAAAGAGAGAGATGGACAGGGAGAGGTACCTTGGACTGTTCTTGTCTCTCAGATTTATAGTTCAGTCCATCTTTGAAATGCATTTTCCTGAGTTTCAGAGTAATAGCTGTGTTAATCTGTATTCGCAAAAAGAAAAGGAGTACTTGTGGCACCTTAGAGACTAACGAATTTATTTGAGCATGAGCTTTCGTGAGCTACAGCTCACGAAAGCTCATGCTCAAATAAATTGGTTAGTCTCTAAGGTGCCACAAGTACTCCTTTTCATTTTCCTGAGTGTTACCCTTAGATAAAGTTCATCCCCCTTGGGAGACAAGGAGTCTGGTGGTGAGGGGTTCCATGTTGCTGTTTGCTAAAATGCAGCTCAATCTGTTCCTTCTCTGCTTCTTTGCAAAAGAATGGCTACTTGACAGGTGATTGCCCATCAGCTTTGATGACACCTAAGCAGAGGCGTCAGCTTGTCCTTTGAGAAACAGGTTTACCTACTCCCCAGACTTCTCTGGTAAACACACTTCAGTCGTGATTTACATATAATGTTGCTACCTACATTTCACCATGATATTTTTGACCAGCAAGTTGTTAGCGTTCAAATGATACCTTACAAAGCACATGCTGTACAAAGATTATTATCGTGTTAATACAGGGGTTCATTCAGTCACAGTCATATATGCTGGACTCCCTTTCTAGCATCTTAAGCTTCCAACACAAGACTGTTGCAAACTCCCACAGCTCAAATTTGAGGTTCACTGGATCAGGATGTGATGTCTGCAAACCTCAGTTCACCCTTTGAGGACATGTGAGCCATGGACATTAGTAGAGGGTGAGAGATTCATAGATTATAAAGCCAGACGGCACCACTGTGATCATCTAGTCTTCTCTCCTGTATAACACACAGTACTGGATTTACCATGGTGCCATAGCGCCAGGCCCAAACTCAGAAGGGGGCCCATAACACTCACTTCCTCCCCTCTCTCAGTGCTGCAGAAACGGAGCCTCAGAGCAGCAGGGATCCAGCGTGGGAGCTGAGAACCTACGGGGCCCTGGGAATTGTAGTGCCTTGGCCAGTTCCCTGCCTATAGTGCTGGCCTTGGAGCAGGGAAGGAACTAAATTTCCCAACATTCCCTTAGCTGCTATCAACAGGAAAGGGAGCGGGAGGGAGTGGGGAAGCTGAGACCCTATGCACCGCAGCTTGCTGTGAATGGAGAGCTGGCTGCTAGAAGGCGGGGGCAACAAGTATACCGAAGGAGTAGAAGGCTTTGGCCCAGATATCACCCTCAGAAGACTTTCCCAGATTGGATTAGGGATACTGGTGTGACCTCGCCTGGCAGTCCCCAAAGAAGGAACTGGGTGGACTAAATGGACAGTGCACCTCTCTATCTGAAGCCTAGCAAGGGAGGTATGTGGATCCCTCCAGAAGTTAAAATGAAAAGTAAGGGAGGGGAGGCTTTGCTAGAGGACCTGGGCAGCTTCAGATACAGTACAGGAGGATTTCCACTTCCAAGCCATGAAAGTAGAAATTGGCTTTTCCTTTCCAGATTTATCTAATATTCAGAAAGGGAATCTAGCTCCAGCCTTCCAGATTTGAACACCCTCAAAATTCAGGAGTGCTCAAGCTCAGTTTGGGCAGCTGTTACTTCATTTCTCCCAAATCAAATATGCTGATGCACTGTAATTTGCTGTAGAAACAGTAGAATAAAATTGAGCAACAAATGCTGGGGTCTTCCCAGTGCTAACGAGGACTGGAATTGCTATTTTCAACAGCCATTACCAGTTTTTTGTTTTGTTTTGTTTTTTTTTAGTTTTGTTTGTTTAAAAGGAAGACTAATATTGCATCGGCAAATTCCCCATAGAAACGAAGAGTGGAACAAAAGAATAATAAAGGCACCTCAACTTTTCCTCATTTATGTAGGACAGTCTTATAGTATGGATCCAGATATCCTCCAATCACATAAACTGAAAATTGTTCCACTTTACTGCAGTTCTGTAACCATGCGGGAACCAGTCCTGTCTGCGTTCTGTGCACATCCAAAATTTCTTACTGAATTCAGAAGTGCCTTGCTTTTGTGACCATACTACCTGATATTTTCAGCCCTTGTAAGCAAAGTAGGTTTACATTTAGTAATTGGGCAGGAGGCTTCTCAGAAAAGGTTAGGTGCTGTAGGAGGTGTTGCTTATTCACTAGGTAATGTGAGACCTTCCTGTTACAATCGTAAACCAGGGCAGCATAGAATGCACTTTGCTTCTAGAATGAGGTCCTTTTGCTTCTATACACAGCCCATTAAAGACAATGAAAAGACTCCCACTCACTTCAAGAGGCTTTGGACAGAACTGGTTATACACAGGGTAACTCCACTGTCTTCACAGGGTCCTGGTCCCACGGGGGGGCGGGCGGGTGGGCGGCATGTGAGCTTGTTGCAGAGTTGTTGCTCAATGATGGGAACCTCCTGGCGCCCCAGCCTTCAAAATCATGCAGGCTGCACTTTCTGCATGACTGTGCTAGCTGAGGGGTGCATGGGAATTGGTGGCCTCTGCTGCAGGTGATGGGCATCTCAGGTACTTAAAGCCGTGGCCTAGAGGAGGGAAGTGCATAACTGCAGAGTCTGCAGCTGCCGAGAGCCAGCGCTGAGGATTTAGAGTTCCTAGTGCCACAGTTGCAAGGTTCAAGCATGCTCAGCCTTGGAATTGCCACCCCTCCCTTGCTAGCAGCTGCAGCTAGCTAAGGCTGGCCTCTGGCAATTGGCCACATGGCTATAGCCAGAGAAGCTGCAGGTGGCTCTGTGACTACTGGGGGGCTATTAAGCTAGAGCAGATAAAGAAACTGGAGTTAATCTCAAGAAACAGAGGTCACCAGTAGGAAAGGAATGTCAAGGGGAGCAAGGAAAGAGGAAGCAGGTTAGGCTTGCAGTGGGAGGATAGCCCCAGCTGGTTGGGGAGCATGTCCAAAGTAGAAAGGAAGCAAGTATGGGGAGAGGTAGTGGTGATCAGGGAGCAGAGGGAGAAAGTCTGGTGTCTTCAGATTCCCAAGAGCTAAGTCCTCATTTGGGGAAATGGTGTTTGCAAGTGGCTTGCTCAAATGGCAGGATGGGTGCTGAGGGAGGGATTTGTCAGAACTGATCAGGTATCTGCTAGCTTTGGAACTTTGAGCTGAGACTAGGGCCACATACGGTGACTGGTGACATAGGGTGGTAATGGAGACATGGCTATAGAAGGTCTGAATGAGGAAGGAGATAAATCTGTGGGGAGTTTCCCTGATCACTATGAAAGTTCTGCTCACTGTGGACACTGGTATACCCATATGGGTGTACAGCTCAATGAGAAAAACTGGGGGCTGAGGGAGCTGCGTATGGCAATGCATATAGTCATGTAGAGGTGTGGGATCAAAATGAAAAATGTCTCTGAGATTCAGTACCGGGTATACTATGGCACCGCCACACCAGACCCACACTCGGAGCCCACAATGACCACATAGGGGCCCAGAAATATGTTTGCGGAAGGGGTTGGAATGGGGGCAGGGAAGGGGAGGGAAGAGGCGGGGTAGGAGCGGGGCCTCTTGGAAGGGGTGGAGTGGGGGCGGGGCCAGGACAGCGGGTCTGGGGTGGTCAGTGGTGCAGCCCTCGGGCCAAGGTACTAGTCCTCATGTGGCCCTCGTGGTCATTTGAGTTTGAGACCCTTGATCTAGTTGCAAAAGAAGAGCATATATGGAAAAAATCTTTTTATGTTTTTACACAGGGCAAAATCTAGACAGCATGCTCCATGGCACGGGAATGAAGACAAATCCTGACCAGAAGAAACAGGCAAATGGGATAACATTGGCTCCAGAGGACACCTTACCTTTTCTACAGTGCTACTGTTCAGGACATTGTCCGGATGATGCTATTAATAACACATGCATGTAAGTAGTTTGCACAAGATGTAGAAGTTTGGCAAAGTTTGGTTATCTCTCTCTAATACTACTGTTAGGGTTTGTCAAGCTATTTGATTAGATTTATTTGTTTCTATAGAATCTTTTCCCTAAAAGGATACAAAACTGCTCTCAGGATAGTGTGTGCGTGTGTGATTTTTCCCACCACAGAAATGGAACCATTTTGGGAGTGATAACAAGCAGTCCTTTTGTCCCAACAACACTGTCTTTAGGGCAAAATTATAAAAAACTTATCCAATTGAAGCTACAGTAGGTAATACATGGTCAAAATGTAAATCTCTCTATAATGTTTCATGTGAATTTTCTTGTATATTGATACAACTAGTGCTCAAAATGTCATACTACCCCCTGTTATATAATCACTAAATTCAAGTTTTTTCATATTACTTATGCATCAGTAGCAGTGATAGGGATAGATTGGAAAGAGAAAATCCCAAGGAGAGCTGCTGAATCAAAGGTTTAGAAGAGTTTGTGAGGAAGAACAGAGATAGCCTTTAAACTTCAATAGGTTTAAGTTCCATTAAGATAGTTTTTTGCATTAATTACACATCTGGTGAACTGAAGAAAATGTTTTGGTAAACAGAATATAAAGTACAAATATTGAATGTTAATGTTGGGTAATAATGGCTGTGATTCTTGTCGAATAAAGTGATGTTGGAAGATCTCAGGCTTTAGTTCCTTTTTTCAGGTCCGCTTGGCCTTTATGCTGAACAGCAGCAGCCCTAATTTGCGGTACTGGCATGACAGTGAAGGAAGTGGCTGTAACAGAGGTGTTGCTCCTCTCCTGATTTTACCCTTGCCCTACAACCCAACCATGTTCCTTCCATCCACTAACCCAATCATGTAACCTAACCATGTTCCTTCCATCCACAACCCAACCATATTCCATCCATCCATTTCCCCAAAGTGGAGGTGCTGAATGGGGAGTCTGGCACAAAGTGACAGAGCTGCTTTCTCCCGCTTTCTGCTAGTGTAGAGCTCCTGTTAGAGGGAGAATTCTCCACTAGCTATTTCCAGCCAGCTTAAGGTCACTTTGCTCTGCTTATACACACGGCATAATCGCCTAGAGAATCAGCCCAGTGCTCCCCCCAGCTATTAAAATATATCTCAAATTGCACTGAAGAAGCCTGGTGGTGACAGGCCACAAGAGCAAAGCTTAAGTAGTTGTTCATGTCACCAGAGCCCCAAGATGGAATTGTAGCTTACTCAGGTTTTTGTGGTGGTTTTGAGTAATAATTTTAAAATTGTTTGCAGTTTCCCATCTTTCTTTTCTTCTCCTTTATTTCAGTCTTCCTTACGCCATCTATGTTTCTTCTCCTTAACACCCTCTCCCCGACCAACAGAGACATTCAAGGTCCTTCTCTCACTCCCTTTTCCCCTGATACTTGGAATTTTGTAATCATTTTACATTACACTTCAGAGATATATAACAATGTATATTTTTCTAATATTACTTTTTTATACAGTTTGTCCCTTCATTTTGACACAGATATTAAAATGTGCATATACCCATTTTTATAAATGTATCACAGGCTTCCCATATTTTAGAAAGTCACCATATACTAAGAATCCAGCCAGGAATATTGTGGTCAAGAGAATCTAGGTAATCTTTACTCTTCCACAGCCTTTCTTTGTCCCATTGAGCAAGTCATCTAGCTTCTCTGAGACTCACTGTCCTTACTGCTAAAATTGAAAGAATAATCCTCATCTGTATCGTATAGGAATTGTAATGTTAAAATCATTGTTTGTAAAATGCTTTGAGGACCTTGCGCAGAAGCTGCAAAGTATTATTAATCATCACTGTGTTATTAAATGTATTAAGATATAAATAGTAGGGGAAATGTCCTTACAGCTACAGCCTCTTGTATGTGAAACAATTTATCAAGATTTCTGAGGGAATTTCATATCTTTAGAACAAATGATATACAACTTTCAGGTTTATAACTTTTAAATGTAGAAGATACTAAACTAGAGGTAAGGATTATGATTTTGGTTTTAAATTCCTTTATACTATCAGAAATTTTGTTGCTTTTTATCGCCCTCTGGTGTTGGTTTTTAATATCCTTATAGCATTTTTCCTTCATTGGTCTATAACCAGTGCATATGGAACTATTACCGTATACTATTGCTACTACTGGAAAATTAACAGCATTTATGCATTCTGTTTGAGCAGTATGTTTATGGTAAAATACTCAAAAATATACAGTTTCTACCTTCTATCTCCATTGTGCACATGGAAGTCTATAAAAAGGTATTTTTGTTAAAGCATAAACTATTGAGATCCAAAGCTATTAATGCAGTAGATGCACTTAAATTGCAAGTGGTTTTTAAAAGTTAACAGTTTTTTTTTTTCTGCCTGTAGAGACCTGTGTTGAGGGAGTTATATTCCCTGTACTGCTTAAAAGCCAGGTCACATAGCAGTGCTATGCATAGAGCTCCCATTTACAGGTTATGTTAGTGATTTTTATCAGCTTCTCCATGGACAGATAACGCTGAATTTGGGTCTTTGTAGGTAAATAAATGGGTGAGGTAGATAACGTAGCTCAAAGTCCACCCTGTACAGTAAGGATCACAGGAGGCTTGATTTTTGGTCTCAAATCCTATGCTTCAGCCACACTTCAGTTCAGAATACCTAACCATCATGCACTCATGGCCCAATATGACTATTTAGATTACAACAAATTTAATTCCTTAATTGACCACCCATCAGAGGAATATCTTGACCAGTTTAAGGCCATTGCACAAGATGGTTAGCTCTTGGCGAAGACATTGCTCCAGGCCTCCTTGGACACTTCCGATACTGCAGCATAGTCTCTATGCACTGCAGTGGTCATTAGAACAGCTTCTTGGCTGCAGCTGTCAGGCTTCCCTTTAGAGGTTCAGAAAACCGTAGAAGACCTCCACTTTGATGGTTGCAAGCTCTCTGCAGACTTGACTGATAGATCTCTCCACACTCGGACTCGAGCCACACTGCAGTCCCTAGTAATTTATACCCATGTAAATAAGAGGGGATTTAGTAGATCTCAGATGGCGTGAAGCACATACCCAACCCCATATTCAGTGTATCATGGACCGTCTGAACTCCAGTCTAAGAGACCAAGATACTAAAAAAAAAAAAAAAAAAAAAATTCTAAAAAAAATTCTCTGGCTACATTTAATGAGCCGTCCACATCCTCCAAGCGATAGTTTTGCTGGCTTGGTCAAGAGTATCAACCATCCAGTCGACAAGGTTTTACAGCTACAATATCTTACCATTCTCTGTCCTTTCAGATGCCACCTCCCATTTTCAGGCTGCCTGGGAGAATATAACATCTGGTCTGACAAATAGGTTTTAGAAACCATAACATCTGGTTACACTATTCATTTCAAATCTATCCCTCCTACCCTTTCCCCCCTCCCTGTCCCTCTTCGGGGACCCCTTCACAATCAATTGGTTGTGCAAGAGATGGCCTCACATCTACATTTAGGAGCAATAGATTTAGTTCCTGTACAACACAGGGAAAGGGGATTCTATTCAGAGTACTCCCTGATTCCCAAAAAGAATGGAGGGTGGAGGTCAATTTTAAACTCCAGGCTTCTAAACAGATATGTAAAACAGCAGAAATTCAGGATGGTGACCCTTGCAGCAATCATTCTCTCATTAGAGTTAGGAGACTGATTTTGCAACTCTTGACCTACAAGATGCATATTTTCATGTCACTCTTCACCCTTCACACAAGAGGTTTCTTGACCAATACAGGATGTGCTGTTTTGGCCCATATCCAGCCCCAAGGATAGTCTCAAAGATTTTGTCAGTACTTGCTACGTTATTTGGTTATAATCCTTTTCCCATACCTCGATGAGTGGTTGATCAGGGCACATCATATCAGGAAGCGTAGGCATCATTAAAGATAACGTGTTCTGTTCCAGGGCCGGGACCTTCAAATCAACCTCAAAAAGTCTGCTTTGACTCCACTACGGGGTCTAGACTTCATAGGAGCTCCTCTCTGTGCAGTGACAGGCAGAGCATATCTCCCTTATGACAGATTTCCCACACTTGTGAATCTCATCTCAAAGATTCATGGTAGTCCCCAAGTAACAGTAAGAGATTGTCCTCAATTGCTGGGATGGATATCAGCTTGAATCTTTGTAGTGCAGCATGCCAGATCACATCTCCAAGGTCAAAGGGATGGCTTTGAACGGTTTACAAACCAAGCAAGCAGAGCCTAGGCAGATTACTCTCTGTTCCCCAGTGGGTCCTAGAGTCATCCAGTTGGTGGAAGGACCTGACCAAAACCTGTGCAGGTATTCTGTTCTTTCAGAATCACCCTATCACAGTGATAATATCAGATGCTTTGCTTTGGGTTGGGGGCACAGCTGGGACTCACAAGGTGCAAGGCAAATGAGCAATGCAAGAACAGTTTCTCCACATCAATCTTTTGGAATTGAGTGGTCAAAAATGCTTGCCTATACTTTTTACCTCCAATCAGATTGAAGTAAGTAAAAATAATGACAATGTGGCATGCATCTATTATATCAACAGTCGGAGGAGAGTGTTCCCCATCTCTCTGGGCTGAAGCAATAAAACTCTGGAATTGGTGCATATCCAACAACATAGTCCATCTCCGCTTCTTACCTCCCAGGTATTCAGAACACCATGGCAGATGACCTTAGCAGACATTTGTTTCTGAATTACAAATTGGAACTGAACTGCTGAGTCTTTCACATGATATTCTTAGCTTGTGGGCTCCCAGAGGTTGATCTGTTTGCTACGGCATCCAATGCAAAATGTATCAGTATTGCTCCAGAGCGGATCTCAGTCCCCTATCCTTAGGGGATGCATTTCTCATCTCATGGACAAAGGGACTTCTCTGTGCAAATCCACTAACACCATTACTGTTCAAGTTTCCCAACCAGATCATGTCAGAGTCATATTGATTATACCTACATGGCCAAGATAAGTCTGGTATCGCTATCTAATCAGAATTGCC